AGTATGTAGTTTCAGGGGCTGTAGTGAAAGGAGTGAATCTGAATGTTATCATTTTAAATGCTGAAGTGATAAAATTCTAATGTTAACTTGGTAATCGAAGAGGTTGTTAGTTTTAATTTCCATATGTAAATGATTGAGCTGATCGAATAAAATTATATTGAATGCAAACGTGACTTTCCTATCTTTTTCTAGTAGCTTCATGGTATTTTTCAAACATGATTTTCTACCAATCTTTTGAATTCAAATGGGTAATTGCAGAAACTGGTTGCTGTCAATTCATCTGCTAAATAAGTCTGGAAATTTTGTCATTTTAGTACAGAAACTTAAACTCCTATGAATTGCTTATCAGAAGTTGTTATTCGCTTTGCTAAACTTGTTATTTGCCAAAGAATTGTGGAAATTCTATCATTTTAACACAAACTTAAATTTCTATGAATTGCTTATTAGAAGTTGTCATTCGCTTTACTGAACTTGTTATGAATTGCTTATCAGAACTTGTCATCTGTTAAAGAAATCTGAAAATTCTGTCATTTTAACACAAAAACTTAAATTCATATGAATTGCTTATCAGAAGTTGTCATTTGCCTTACTAAACTTGTCATTCACCAAAAAATTGTGCAAATTGTCATTTTAACACAGAATGTTAAATTCCTATGAATTGCTTCTCAAAAGTTGTCGTTCGTCTTACTAAACTTATCATTCGCCTTACTGAACTTGTCATGAATTATTTATCAAAAATTGTCATATGCTAAAGAAATGTGGAAATTCTATCATTTTAACACAGAAACTTAAATTTCTATAAATTGCTTATCAGAAGTTATCATTCGCCTTACTAAACTTGTTATTCACCTTATTGAACTTGTCAAGAATTGCTTTTCACAACTTGTCAACTTGTTATTTCTAACAACTTACTAAACTTGTTATTTTTACAAAAATAAAAATCCAGATTTGTTGGGCATCGTCTCAGCACCAAGCAATCATCGCACACATTACAAGCAAACATCACAAGCATCGCAAATGGCTACAACTCTTCCTCAAACTCCCTAACTCTCCTCTCCTTCCACAGCAATGGAGAGAATGATGGAAGAGGTTCCATTGCCAGCGAAAGAACAGTTAGGCAAGACAAGAAGAAAGTGACAGGGGATAACAACAAAGATAGGACTTTTTGAAGTCTGGTTTGTAAAGGAGAAGAAGCCGAAGAAGATAGATCAACAGTGAAAAACACAGGTTGAAGAAGACGGGAGGAAAATAAGATGGGGTGAGGGATATTTTAGTCTTTTGGGCATGATTTGCTAATTGTAATTTAAGACCCGATCTTTGATATAATTATGTTAATTCGGGAACTCATTTTACCATTTCATATATTCAAGGGTTTTTATTTGCCATTTTCTCTATATAATATTATGCTATCTTTCATCTTTAATATAAAAAATAGATAACTAACTTGCGAATGTTAAGAAAATTAGTAATTTAGTTATTTGTATTCAATGTTTTTTCTAAAATACCGTTATTAGTAATGTCCATTAGAATAAAAAGAATTTTAAAATGTTGAATCACTTCGGAGACTGCCTTGAAAAAAAATAAATAATTATGAGGGACAGGGTGAATTGGAATATTATATTTAAGATCAAATTAAATTTCTAACTAGTTTTCATATTTAGAATTAATAGTATATGTACATAACTAATTTTCCCCATTAAAGTCGGGTTTGATCAGTTGAATGATAAAAATTGAAATATGTTAGCAATTTTTAAGGCATTGAGTATTACTACCTCTGGTTGAGGCATTGAGTATTATTATCTCGGGTCCTTAATATAGGATCCTGTTTAACTTTTATTTTGATCCTAAATATAAGACCCCACTCCACTTTGTCTCTCATATTTATACATTTTTTCCAAAGTAGTCCTTCTAACAATGATAGTTCTAGTCAATACACTTGATTAGCATGGATATTTTAGGTAGCACTGGGAAAACGGGCCGGCCCGGCCCTCTAGGGCCGGCCCGTCACGGGCTCGGGCTTAAACGGGCCGGCCCGTTTAAGTCCGAGTTCAAAAAATGAAGCATTTTCCCAAGCCCGGCCCGTGAGATAACGGGCTCGGGCTGGCCCGCGGGCTTTTGACCCGTTTAACTAAAATGTATTTTTATTATTTTTCTTTGCCTATTTTATCGAAATAATAAAATGAAACAACAAAATTACTAATAAAAGATATAAATATAAATAAAAATAAGTCACAAACATAAATATCATTATGTTAAAACATCTATCACAGTGTAATAAAGTCTATTAAATGAACAAACTAAATAGAGGACAGACATAAACAACTAAATAAACACTAAGTTCAGTAAATAATTACAATATGGATGATCTTGTTTAATTATAAATAATTAACAAAAAAGTTTAACTAACAAACATAGTATATATAAAAAATAATTGTTTGTCCTACTGACAAAAAAGAAAAGAGTTCATCATCCATAGTTCTAAATTTGTTTCTAACTATAAAAATGATATAGATTTTTATTTTAATTCAAAAGATTCTTTAACCAATTCTATTTCAAGTATAAAAAATATGAAAGAATGATAAATAAAGATTGTAAAATAACACATACAGTATTTTAATAGGTTTTGACAACTTATAAATAATAACACATTTTTGTTAATATACTTAGAATTATGGTGATTTCTTTTTTTGTGAATGCCATTTGTGTAAGCAGTGGGGGTAAGTAAAACTAAGAGTATATTATGTGTAAAATGTTAGGGTTTTCCTTTTTAAGTTAAGAAAAAAATATAAAAATTAAAAAAAAATTATTGGCGAGCTTAAACGGGCCGGCCCGCGGCCCTACAGGGCTGGCCCGTTTATTTTTCGGCCCTACAAGGCTGGCCCTTTTAAGCCCGACTTCCCTTTCAAGACTCCAAAATACAAGCCCGGCCCGCGACTTAAACGGGCTTAAACGGGCTCGGCCCGTTTTCCCGGCTCTAATTTTAGGAAAGACAATACCTATTTAGAACAAATAACTAATTCAACTTACTTCCTTAATCTCTTCAAATTAGTTAACTGACTTTTATAATTAGGACCGGAGGTAGTAGTTGAATATTTACATGCATCCTTGTGAGTCGATTTTCATTGCCAATGCTATCAGATCAAGTGATTTATTTTAACCTATGAAGAGATGAGGAAAAAAAAAATTGTTTTAAGGAAATTGGGAAATATTTGGTATTAGACAAAATTACTTTTAAGGAATACTCTTGTACAAATTAAGATAAATTTCTCTATATATTTATTTTATATACCGTAAAATTATTTTTTTAAACTATCGTTTAATTTCTAGCTAAACAGCCCAAGGCAACAAACCAAAAGACATGCCCCCCCTATCCCGTACCGTAATGCTATCTCATCTGATGACATGCAGTCGTCAGCTTTTCCCCGCCAGTTCACATATTCCATGAGAATCTCATTTGATAATTTGGCTTATGGTTGGAATCATCAATTAATTAACGGCAAATTTTCTCAGAGTGACAATACGACCTAGCTATCATGTCTGGATGAGTATTTAGACTCAAACTTGGTATTAGCACATGGATTAAAGAACATTCATCATCTCAAAATATTTTTTTAATATATTTAACACCTCAAAATTTTTTATATACGTCTAATACCCTGAAGTATGTTTCTTTGTTTTCGTATTAAATGTATAAAAAAACATTTTTAGTGCTGAATACACTTAAAAAATATTTTAAGATTATGAATTCACCAAAAAATATTTTACGGTGCCAAATGTACTTAAAAAAAATATTTCACGGGGATGGATATACGACAAAATGCTTTATAGTACTAAATGTACTCGAAAAAATATTTTGAGATACTGAATGTACCTTAATCCTTAGTATATTTGTGTATATGCATGTGTTTAAATTGTTTGAAATAAAAAAAGGGTCGGAATTGCCGGTGTGAATATAGTAAGAATATCCCCACCGCATCTTGTGATCCCCCAAGTCTTTCAAGCTGCTGGAGGGTTATGCCGTTCAGCCTTTATTCCTTTCACAATTAAAAATTAAACATACAAATGCGAACGTTGCAATTAGTTGTCTCCACGGCAGAAAGGCCCCGCGTCGGCGCGTCCCTCGACCACAATTTCTTATTGCTCTTTCACATTGACCCGGCGGTTGTCCTCAGCTTCTAGATATATTTTATTTTTAATGTTTTTATATAATTATTTCCTTTGATTTTTTATAAGGTCCAATTATAATTATAATTATTTTATGTGGGTTAAGAAGATAAGTTAAAATTAATTATTTATTATAAAATCTCAAAATTACTTTTACAAAATTTAGTATTCTAATTTAATTTTAATGGATTAAAACGCAAATTTGTTCAGAAGTTTTCACTACAAAACATGGGGCATATGAAAGTTTTTTTTAGTACAAATTTATTCTGAAAGTTTAAAATCGTAATAATATTTTTTTCTACTTTTAAAAAATTTAAGTTAACTATTAAAATAGTGACTTTCTAAGAAATAATATTATTATGATTTTAAACTTTCACAAAAAAATTACACCTTAACCCCATCATAAATATAAGAGTAAATAACAAATTTAAAGATATTAAGAAAATTAATTTAATTAGCTTTTTGTATCATTTCAGAGACTAAATATTATATTAAATTTTTTTTTAGGAAAAAAACTCTATTTTATTTATAATATTAAATATATTATTTTATATTTAATTTTTATTTAAATATCAATGACGAAGAACCCCAATTCACCATAGAACGGGGCAAACAAAAATCTTAAACCGTGTGAACGCAGCAGCTGTCACGCCACCAACACGACAAAAGATTGATGACGTATCTAATGATGCGAATGATCTCCGCCGTCCATCTAATTGTCTACAAACTCAGCACATGGCCAAAATTCCTGCCACGTGTAGGGACACGAAGTCTCCACGTGTAAACGTTCTTCATTGCCCTTGCATCCCTGGTTCTGTAATGAGAAAAGGTGGGGAACAAGATCAGGACGCTATAAATTTGAGGTCGCCCCTACAAATGTGTGTTCATGCTGGCTTCTTCAATTCGCATCTTGTTCTGTAGAAACGTCAGAGTAGCTTCTTCTCTTTGTGCTTCTCAATCTCATCACTGGTCAAGACAAATCTCAGATAAACCTACGAACTCAATCTTGTTGGGTCCTCCTCGGATTTCATCGTTCAGTGTTCTTGTTAGATCGAGGTTTTCGAGTCCTTTGTCCCTTGCGTTTAGAACAGATCGCACAATGGCTTCTCAATCAAATACTAAATCAGTCCACGATTTCTCGGTCAAGGTAACTAGTTACTTTGAATCTCTTCGTCATTTCGATATTTTTTTAATATAAAATTGCTTGTTATTATTCGGCTTGTATGTATTGTGCTTGACGTTGGAATGTTCAAGTCTTTTTCGCTTAGGGGTATTTGACTGTAAATATTCAATTCACGCGTTTTACCTTTTACTTGCAGGATGCCAAGGGAAATGATGTTAATCTCGGCGAATACAAGGGGAAGGTCCTTCTGATTGTCAATGTTGCCTCACAATGGTTAGCTCCGTGTTTTCAAACTCTTTCTCCCATTACCATCTTCTATCTAGTATTATACATATTTCAGAACAGTAAACCTTCCATGAAATCATAGTCGTTCCTTGGATGATAGTATTAGTAGCTGCAGGGGGTGTGGGACCGTTAACTTTGTAGGATCTACCACTTATGTGTAACCCACTAAATCTCAAATAATGTGTTTATCTATCTCTAAATTGACAAAATCGAGTGATTGACCCTCTTAATTATGGAGAGAAATTGAATGGATCCTAGTTGAAGAAAGTGTGTGGTTGGCCTTTAGTGTTGGGGGGATGTGTAGATTGACAAACTTTTATCATTTGTAGATGCCTTTGCCGTTATCTTTCTTCCTATTGCATTCCGTTTGCAAATTTTAATGTTCAAAATCGCTTGACGCAGTGGCTTGACTAATTCAAACTACACAGAGCTGGGCCAATTGTACGAGAAATACAAAGGCAAAGGTTTGTTTTTTGTTATGTTCTCCTCCGTACTTGTTTCTTTTTCATTCTTTTTGTCATTGCCATTGTTTCGTTATTCTTTTCGATAGTATAGCCCTTGAACACTTGGAACTGACATGGAAATGCAGTCTGGTTATATGAGCCCATATATGTATACATACTGGGTTCATATCTACGAAGTACCGGTTTTAGATTCCCATTTAAGGTCAAGCTGCTTTCTGTGCCCTAAATACTTGCTTTTCTTATGCAGGTTTTGAAATCCTGGCTTTCCCTTGCAACCAGTTTGGTGCACAGGAGCCTGGAAGTAATGAGCAGATAGTTGAGTTTGCCTGTACTCGCTTTAAAGCTGAGTTCCCCATTTTCGACAAGGTACGGGGCATTTGTGTATACTCTCTGCGGTATTCATGCCTATATATTCCCCTTCATTTTTTTGGTGGTTATGTGATATGTTAACTCTTGACCCATTATTGCAATATGATGCATCAAGTTGACTTACATGACTTTTCATTCCGAACCAATTGAGATTACAAATCGCATCTGTTATTGTTATTTTGCACTTGGTCAAGATAAAATAGACGCCACGCTTCTTTCTGTTCCTAGGAAAGGTATCTACTAATGCTTTAGTTTTTTTTTTTAAAAAAAAAAAACCTCCCTTGCCTGTGGCGGTTCTTGAAATTTTATAACCTTGTACGATTTTCGAGTCCCTTTCTACTCTAACTTGAGAGTCTAGCTCAGTAGACACGAATTAACGAGTTGCTAATTCTGAAGGTTTAATTTAATGTTTACCCTTCATTTACATGCTCTAGCTGTCCTGTTCGTGATATAGTTCAATCATGTTTGCATCGTTCTGTTCATGAAATTATAGGTGGATGTGAATGGTGATACTGCTGCTCCACTGTACAAGTATCTGAAGTCAAGCAAAGGTGGACTGTTCGGAGATAGCATAAAATGGAACTTCTCCAAATTCCTTGTTGATAAAGATGGCAATGTCGTCGACCGTTATGCACCCACAACCTCTCCTCTCAGCATTGAGGTAAGAAGAAGACGATTCTTCATAATGTCTCACTCAACATACTGAAATTTGACAAACTGATGGCATTTTTTTCCTCTTGTTGATATCTGCAGAAGGATATCCAGAAGCTTTTGAGTGCATGAACCAATGCAGGAACCAGCAAACTTTAAAGAACAAGTTATTATGAATAAAGGAATGTGTAGAATGCTAGAGGCTGTTGGTCTAGTTTCCTCCTTTTAGTTTGTGTACCCAAGTAACTAATGTGCTTGAAATATGCATGTGGATCTGGTGGTGAATATGTAACTGTGTGCGGACTACTTTATCCGTTTATCGCGTGTGAAGTCTTTTTTGAATTATGCTCCTCAATTTCTATCTTTACTCCTGTGTTATTGAATAATACTGAGGGTTGATTTTATGCCCGATGGCGATGATTCTCATTTGAACCCGTGTCTCATTTATAAATGGCAAATGAGAGTTGGTCTTCATGAGTTCATTTTAATAACAATTAGGCAAGAGGTTAAGTTGCGAATTTGGGGTTTAATAATTCGTGGTCCAATTATATTATAATTAAAATAATATAATTTAATTAAAATATATAAACATATTTGTGTATGATCATGAAAAAAGTTATATTTAAATAAAAAAAGAAATTAATCCTTGAATAAATAGAATTAATTTTGTTGAGTACATTAAATCAATGTTTCTAAAATCTTTTATTTATATAAATTGTTGCAAAAATATAGGAAAAGGTACAAAACAATTTCAAGTTGATTAACGTGGAAACCTAACATAGACTTCATTCATTAAAAATTAAAAATTACTGTTTTATGTACAATTTACTATTTTTAGTATTGCGAGAGTTTAATATAACTGCATTTATATGGATATTGAAATCTTTGTTGAATAACCCCTACTCATTATGCTAATGAACATAAATGTATAATTTTATCCTATATCTCAACATCCTGATTTTTTTTAGTAATCAGTGGTGTAATTTACTCGTGATGTTTTTATTTTAGTAAAATCTTGCCCATTACTAAACATATACATAAACACATGATTGCACAAAAGTAAAAGATTAAGGGAAAAATTGCCCATTACTAAACATATAGTAACTCCACTTCTATTTGTAAGCATCAAATTTAGAAAGTAACTGGTCCATTTTATAAACTTTAACTTGGGTTTGTCTAGCATTTAGTGTATTTTTTCATTTTTGTCCTTAATTATTTATTCTATCTTTTTTGCCATAATTTCTGTTATCACATTTTCTCAAACATTCTCTTTCTTCTTTCTTCTTATTTATTATAAGGGTATATTTGAAAAAAAAATGTGTTAACCTATTTATTTTTAACTAATTATTCATTATTTTGTGAATTAATTATTTAAAGCTCACAATAAAGACAAGGAAGAGCACATAAACACAATGATTGAGATAAAACTATTATTATAATATAATATTAAATTTCTATCTTGTATATCTTTTCCCCACTTATCTTCCAGTTTTTTATTGTATTATTGGATTAGTTCATTTATGTTCATATACTGAAAAGCATACTTATGTAATCCTATAATAAATCTCAGATGTAGTCATGTAGAGCTAATTAGAAAAATTATTTTAATCTTAAATAATTTTAATCTATTTTATTTTTATATTTATTATTTTCTTCCAAACTAATTCATTTAACTTATAAAATACTAAGTAATCTAAGATTACATAAAAATACTTTAGAAAAATAATCAATTTTGTTACAATTAAATAACTTATTAAGTTTCTATTTTTAAAATTAATTAAATAGTCCTCAAGTTAATAAGTGAAAGAGTATATTACTTAAATAATCTTTTCACATCAACCAGAGGACACACGGTTGAGGGAATAAAAATCATACTTTAATCTTTTCACATCACTATTTTAAAATTATTAGACAATTAATTTTAACTCTAAATATAAAATCTATTTCTTATGTTTATCAATTTTCTTTAAATCATCCCAATGAATACTTCCTCAACTATAATCAAGTAGAAGAGAAAAAATAGGTATTAAAAAAATGATTATGATATTTTAGAAAAATTATATTACATTTTTTATAATTAATTAACTTATCTAACTTTCTTAATCTAATCAAATTAGTTAAATAGATTTTATATTAAGAACCTTCAGAGTACTTTGCAAGTACTAAAACGTAGTTCTCTCCAATGGATCGGTTTTTTCCTTAATGTTACCCTATATCAATCCAAAAGTAGCTTCTTTCTTGGAGGAAACCAGAGACTAGAAACGAGAAAGCCCTCTTCCTAAATCATTGAAGCAAAGCCTTCTTCTGCGAAAACCAGCAAAATGGGCACAAATCAAAATGCTCGAGGGCATTGCCAAGCAAATGACAATACAAAACCTATAATTGTTCAGGTCAAAATAACCAGAAAATAGCTTAATAAACATAACAAGCTTAATACAGATGTATTAGTTTCCTTCATTTAACCAGAAAATTTGGCTCAAGTCAAAAGTAATCACTTAAACCGCAGTATGCTGAGATTGTTATAACACATGTTAGACTGAGAACAAACTTCTGACAACTTAATGGGGAATAAGATAAATAGCAGAGAGATGAGCAAATTCAGCTGATGTACAACAACAGGTGTATATATATACACAATTTTTCATTCAGCCACGGGTCAAGTCGATACCAGTTCGAGTATGTGTGTGAGAGCTTTTCAAATCTCCTGGCCACATGGCTGATGCAGACAATGTGTAGTTCTGAGCACTTCCTGGAGTAATGGGGCTATTTAACTTGTTACCATCATGCTGAGGCTGAGGATGAGGATGAGGATGAGACTGAGGCTCAGAATTCTTCTCAGCCTTGGGAGAGGTTACTTGCTTTGTCTTCATCTTAGCACTTCCATATACAAAACTGCATACCACCACCTGCACCAAATAACATAACAGCATCATTAAACCAAAAAAAAAAATAGTGAGATATTTGTTATAATGTTATATCATGGCTCGAGCATCTTGGACACAAATCGAGCCCCCTTCATTCATACATTCATGGATTTGGAGTGTTACCACATAATGTAGTAAATACGGCCTATATCTCATACTAATCCACTCTACCAATGCATTTATACATTCACTTTTATTAGGATGTTTGGATTAGACTTTTGGAAGTAATTTTACAGGATATAAAGTAAGTATGTGAGAGTTTCATTTCAGATTGCATTAAAGTGCTTTTGAGAAGCTAATCCAAACACCCCATGAATTTAGAAGATCCAGACTCAGGGATGTTAGCCAACATTCAATATTATGCCCGTTTGGTACAATCATATCAAAGATGACACACGGTGCCTCATCTTATGTCAAACATCTGGGCCTCTTTTTAACTTCAATACAATGTCTGTACACTTCTCAAAACAACTTTCAATTGTCTCACCAAACGTAGGCATCTTGAATGCCATGATATGTGAGATAACAGCATACTAGATGCCTTCTAAAACGCCAGGTATAGGTTTTGGGGAGATGAGGAATATACCTGAACTGGGCCTGCTGCAATAAGCACAGCAACACCACCACCAATTACATGACCATCAGGGCTAGAAAGGGAAACACTCAAACCACCTGTTCTATCACGAGGTCCACCATCTTCAGCGACCAAGTATGAGCCAGACAAGCATAAAATTTGAAATCGGCCCTGCAAAAGACAACACAATAATGAAAGGTTCAAGGAATCAGCTTGATTCTCTCACTGAGAAAATCTGCAGTTGAAATGTCTTTAGAGAGACTGAAAAAGAAAAAGAAAAAACAAAAAATAGCACCCAATGTTTTTATTATCGACTATGACCTATATTTGATTCTTCTGTTTCAGGTCTTTCCCCTGAAGCCAATCTAAGATTGTCTTGCAAATCAATAACACCCACTGAGGTCATCACCACCAACAAGCCAGCACACCTCTGCCTCAGAGAACCCATTTTACAAATGATTCTTCACAAATGGAAACCCTTTATCATGTGGTCATATAGGTGAAATATCTTGAAATATATAATTTACATTATTATATTTCAAAAATTGCTTAAGTGAACTGCATTAACGTTCTCTTTTATTAGTTTATACGGAGCAAATATTGCACAATGCAATCACAGCAGCTGAGGTAGCTTTAAGAAGAAGAAAAGGGTAGAACTCATAAGGCATTCATTGTGTTTAAAACACCAATAGAGAAGGACACTTAATGTCAGCATTGCGGATATAAGGTGGTATAGGATAAGCATTATGGTGTAGTGCTTTGACCTCATAAGTGAGGCTGATGTTTGTTGAAGCAGGTTGGCGCAGAGTGACTGAAGAAACGGTGCCAGTGCCTGACATGATGCACAGAGCCCTTGGTCTCTGCTGTGACAAAGACAATAACTTTGCTACAATGTCCTGAAACCCCAAGAAAACCAAAAGGAAAAAAATAAATAAAACTACCATTTAAGAAACCTGTAATAATGATTAATGTGCATCATAAAGAAACAATTTTGAAGACTAGCATTATCAACATGATAACCATTTTCACGAATTGGAACAGAATTGGAATAAACAATTCTGCAAAGTATGATATGTGCTTCATCCCATCAGCAACCATATTTAATACGGTGATTTGCCTATCTTTTTCCATTCTATATTCTGGTATTGACTTGAACCCAGCATGTGACTATCTAAAATTATATTATTTTCAGTAATTTGCACTTTGCAATTATAAAAGAGCCATGGTAAGACTTCACATACCAGCATATCAATAATCAGAACAGAAATAAAGAAACAGGCTTTATTGACTAAATTGTTTTTCTCTCCATTGATTTATTTATGCAGATATGCCTCCTGAATGTACACTGATCACAACTTTCACAAGTTATCCAACGTCTAAGACAACTTTATCTTCTTAGAGATGCATAAAATAACTACTTATTTATATTCAGGACTTGAGGAAAAAACAGAGAGATAAAATCATTAAATCATTACAATAAATAAAGCGCAATATTATAACTACCTCCCCAGCTCCAATTGTGATAACATGAGGTGCAAAAGCAAGTCCGGCTGAACTGTTCATCCATTCACCTAGGAAGAAATAACTAAAACATATTAGTAGACCACACTTCATGCGTCTCAGAGCACAAATGAGGATAAAACTACTCACAGTTACCAGCTGTATCCATAAACCGAATAAAAAAAACTTTAGAAAAAGAGAGAGAAGGGAAAAATGGAAATTCGATATCTAATTTCTCACAGTATTTCAATTCATAACAACCTGAACAACCAACTGATTGTATAATCCGGACACTGAACATGAGAGAAGGCCACTCATATGGAATTATGGATTTGCCTCAGTTTAATAAGTTTTATGCGTATCAAGGAGTTACATCAATGACAGTCATGTTTTTGGCTTCAAGGATTCCTGAAGCAGATTTCATAACTAAGAAGAAACCAAATCAAGCGCAGCTAGATTAAGAATATCAGTAACCTGCTATAAGCTAAACATCCTTAGAAAAACACAGTAGTAGCCTGTTTTCTTCCAGTGATATAACAAACAAGAATTCGACAGCTTCACACCAAAGTGAGCTACAGGATATCTAGAAACTTAAGCTGTTACCAAAAAAATGAAAAAACAAAATCTATCTCTGCGTTGAAATCGAAGCACAGAAGCTGCTGAAGAGAAACATCACAGCTAGAGCACCAGAAAATAAGAACATGAAGCATATAAGATGAACAAAAAATGAAAATCCCAATAGAAACATACCTAGAGCCGCTAGCTGCTGCTTCCTGCCAGAACCAGGTGGACGTCCTCTATTCCGTTTATGGGAAGGCGTGCCTGAACCTGGGGTAGAATTAGCCGTTGCAGACATGGGAGACAGTCCCAAAGAAACAGGGCCATCAGGACCGTATTTACGAGGCCTTCCTCTCTTCTTTTTCAAGGGCTCACCTGAAGATGGTACTCCAGGAGAGGAACTTATGTTAATGCCTTGACTAAAATTGTTACGAGGAGGCTCTACTGAAAATGTGGAACCCACAGAACCACCTCGGACATTTGACTGAGCTTGAAAGCCAACGTTTGACAAAGGTCTAAACCCAGGAGGCGATTGTTGGAACCCCTGGGCTTGTGTTCCAGAGCCAGACCCAGAAACATCTCCTCTATGCATGTAATATGAAGCTGAGCCACCAGAGAATGCCATAGCTTCTCTCCCATCCATTCATTTACTATGATATTTGTGATGAATATACAAACTTTCTGGCAACTCTGCTCAAATCCTTAACCCCAATTCTTTCAGAGCAGAGCCAACTTCTCACACCACTTCCACAAAGATATACCAAAAGAGGGGTTTTGCCGGGGTTTCTCCGAATGTCAAGAAATGAAAGGCTTAATCAGTAATAAAAAGATTCAATTTTTCGCCCAAAATTGTCGAGAAGAGATGTGGATCTAAAACCCAGGAACCCAGACACTGTAAGTTCAAAATTTTTTCTTCAGCCTACGCTAAAACCCTGGGTTTGCAAGAGTCCGCTTTAATTACGGAAATCTAAGAACCTCTCGGAGCATATGATTCGTCTGCCCAGGTGGGGGAAAATAATGAATATAGAGCTTTAAATTGTGAGCAACAAAAACCTGGGTAAGAGCTTACTCAGTCGCAAATGTAGAAAACTCAGAATCACAGATTTAACACAGGAAATTCAAGCTAGCAATCTAGAGTTTAACTGAACACGCCTCATAAACAAAACCCTAGATTTCAAATCTAGGGTTTTGATGGAGGAATGCAGGAGGTGGAGGTGCCAAAAAGGGAGTGAAGAAAAGACAAGAGTAGGAGTTGGGACTTGGGAAGGAGAAAAGAATTAAAAATGTGAGCTTTTGAATTAAAGTGCGTTAGTGTGTATGAAAGTCTGAAAGGGAAGGCTGTATATTTGAATAAAGGACCCTTGAGAATGTTTGTATCTCAAATAAAACTTTTTTAAATTTAATTTCTTTAACTTTTATTTTTATTTCAAATTAAGATATTATTATATTGTGTTTAAGAATAAATAATTAAAATTGTCATCAGTTTTATGTGTTATTATTTTTAAACGAAGATATTGAATGAAATAAAATACGATAAAAATTTAAAACTATCGTTCATTAATCAAATGGAGGAATATTCTAAAAGTGAGTAAAAAAACTATTAAAATAAAAACAAAGAAGTATTTTAAAAAAAGCAAAAGAAAAAAGAAAAAAAAATCATGGAGTGATAGGAAGAGCAGAATAGTGGGATTGGAGAAGATTCATTGAAATTTGAAACATGCCCATGCTAGAAAATTGAAATGAGCCTTATTACCCAAATGCATTAATCTAAATCAAGCAGAGACCAAAAGAAAAGTAGAAAAACTAATAAATCTCCCAAAACTCTTTTAATAAGTATTTAATACAATTATATAACTTAGAGTTTAAACCCAAAATTACTAATTAAATTGATATAGTTCTACCAACTAAATTATGTGCTTGTTTGTGTTGAAGTGATTTTTTAAATGTCCTGTCAGTAAGATAAAAAATACTCTTTCAGTTTTTAATATAAAACTTATTTAACTAATTTGATTAGATTAAGAAAGTTAGATAAGTTAGTTAATTATAAGAAATGTGATATATTTTTTCTAAAATACCATAATATCTTTCTTAATATCCTTTCTCTTGCACTTACTTGATTATGGTTGAAAGAGTATTTATAGGGATAATTTAAAAAAAAATTGATAAATGTGAGAAATAAGTTTTATATTTAAGATCAAAATTAACTTTAAAAATTAAGTTATATATTAAAGACCGGAGGAGTATTTCTTAAACTTAGATTAAAATCAGTCTATCAAAATTTGTAGGCTTTAGATCTTTTAAATTAAAACATCATGAAGTCCACACTTATAATTATTACTATAAATTATAAAGTTTATGAAACAACAACGCATCTTCCTCTTTGGTTCTATGCAAGTAATTGAAATACCTTATTTTAGGAAGTTTTCGGATGGAAATAAAACTATACTCCCTCCGATCCAAAATATAAGCTAAACTTTGTTAGAGAGGCTTGATTTTTTTATAAATTAACATTCACTTTTATCCAAGCATTTAATGAGTTTTTTTTTTCAATTTTATCCGATACATTCTCTATCCTTTTTGATTTATTTATTACATCTTTTACTCATTCTCTTCATTAATAAAGGCATACCTAGAAAAAAAATGACTTAAATACTTATTGTTTCAAACTAATTTTAACTAGTTTTTTATAAACATAAATGGATAAAGTTTAGCTTATATTTTGAATTAGAGGGAATAGTTTTAAAATTGATTTTATATGAAATAAATATGTAAAAAAATTTGTCCAGATTTGACCAAAAAATACTTTTTAAAAGTACTTTTATGATTTTCCTAACACCCACTTAATAAAATAAATATGTTAAAATTTTAAAAATATGAATTAAATAAAATATAAATTAATTTGAAGTACCAAACTCAGACACTCTTTTCGGATTGCCAAATCATGTGGCAGTGGGGTCAGCTTTAGAATCTCTGAATTAGGGTTCTGCACTGCTATTCCCAATTCTTACCCAATAGCAGCACTAAGAATAAACAAATAAATACTTTTCTTTTTAGTTTGTTTGGCCAGCTTCATCGAATAAGCAATGTTATTTACTTTTTTTCAAATACTTTTTAGAACAAGAACTTAAGTAAGTCTCATTTTAAATTTCAAAAAGTTATAAGGCTGAAAACTTATAATTCTATTTTGGATGATGAGTCATATAAAACTGAGTTTGAACATGCAATACAGATAATCGCATAAACCAGAACATGAATTAATTGGTGATTTTATATGTATCATTTTATAATTTTCTTAGTTAAATTGATTTTTTATCAAAAAAAAATTGTATACATCAATGTGGGAAGAAAATAATATTCCATTGATAAAACTATATTCAGACCAAAAATTACATATAAATCATATAAATTATTTATAATTCAAAGAGTTATTTAACCATCACTTAATATTCATATGAATGCAAAATTTTCCAATCATTTTCCTGTAAATTATCTATGTTGCTTCTAAACAAACTCATAACAGATAAACGCAAATGTCAATTTTTAAATATTGCTTTCATCACAAAACTTATACAAATCATAAATGGGACAATTACAAACTTTGAAGCTAACTGAACTGAAAACTTTGGGGATAGAATAAAATTTCCTTACTCTCTCAAAATGAAGAGGATGGAAGATGATATAATAAGAATGAGTTGAGTCAATTCAATGACCAATGGCTATATAGCTATCTACCTATCCATCTAATCTCAAGAATAGTCATCAGTTAATGTTGTGTATACACAGAAATCAAGAAAGACTCCGAAGATCAACACGTTTCTTAGCTGCTCTTCTGAAACGCTTTAGATTTTGCCACCTAAGACATTCTATCTCACTGAGATTCCTAAAATTATTAATTTCAATATGATCTCGGCTTCCACACACTGCCTCATCTCTCTTCTGTGTCTTTCTTAGATTTGTATGCCTTGGAGATGGTGTTTTAGGTTCCTCCAATTTCTCGTTAGTTAACCTGCAAATCATCCATAATCAATCAACATAGTCGAAGGGGTATATAAAATATATATATATATGGAGAGAGAGAGAGAGATGGGAATTCAACCCAAGAATTCCAGTAGAAGTACCAAAAAGTTGATTTAAATATAAAGGAAAGCTGAAAGAGTAAGCTACCAACCCACTCGTAAAACGGTAAGGATAATCACAGAATAATAGGAGGCAAAAACTTAGATTTATACCTAATGTATTTTCCTTTTCCCTCAAATGAAATGAGAATAGGAGGATTTTAAATTTAAATACATGTAAAACCTGTTAATAACAGCAATTAGGTACAGGGCAAGCGATGGGTAAATAAAAGCCATCTGCTTCGATTTGATTAGAAACAAACGTGTTAACTACAAAAAATTAAGTACCTAATGTTTTTTTATGCCCTTTTTCTCATAACTAGCACTTGAGAGGCTAGTCTTTCCACATTCGCAAATTGTTTGCCTGATTCTGAACCCAAACCCAGAAATATATACCTCACTCTTACACCTTACACATCCCATGGGAGTCAGCCATAACCACGCACGCATTCTTTGGGCATGCATAACAGTCAAAACAATCAAATAGTCGCTGGACACAGCATACAGCTCTACGCAGCCTGAATGAAGTAAATATAAAGAAAATAGGAATCCAAACCAAAAACATAAAACTAACCATAATTTCCCAATTCATACGGTGATGTCACAAACGGGGTCTTTGAACTGCTAAATCAGATTTCAAGATAGAGAAATCCATGCAAAACAGCGAATATTTCATAGATGTCAACCAGATTCAAAAGCCAACACACAGCATAATCTGCTCAGCACAATTTTAAAGTGCACGCGATTGAATGTGAGCTGACTTGCTACGATCCAAAGAGGTTGGCATTCCTGCGGTGGAGGGGTTATATGTAGGACAAATGTAGAACCCTTGACAATCTCATTTTATCTTCTAGTAGAAAACATAAAGCAAGTTTACTTGCCCTGAGATCCTCATCCACATTAACAAGCAAGTTTTCACCTTCGGCGATGAGTTCAGAAACTTTATCTATGCTGAGTGCCCCAGAATCAACACCAAACTGTCCATGAAAAATTTGAAGGAGCTGAATGAGAGAGACAGTGAGAAAGCAACAGGAGAAAACAAAGGACGAACTAAATTCCAAGCCTTCTAGGTCAGTTCTGCCCACTGCAAATATAAGCAATTCATTTTTGCAAGGGGCAACAAATAATGATCTTCAGGTCATATTTCCATAGCCAGTCCCTGCCAAGTAATTTTACATTTTCATAACGTCAGATCTTCTCAGTTTGATTGCCTTTTCGTATCTTTTCTTTGGGGTGGCCATTCTAGTCTCTCTCTCTCTCTCTCAAAATAAATAATAAATAAATAAGGAGCTTTCAAGGACTGCCACTTCTTTCCTTTTTAATCTTTCATTATAGAGGCCAAATTTGTGGCACCAGAAGATTTAATAGCGGGCAAAAGTATAAAAGATAAGTGAATTAACTTCAGGAGAAATAAAACAGATAAATTGACAGCTTATCCTGTTCTTATAATGCAAACCCAGGAAAAATGAGACCTAATCAGAATATAGCTCTTTCAGATGCTTCTGAATCTCTTGGATAGAAGGATTTTGTAAAGTATTTAACATTCTGTTGGCTTCAATTCTCCAAAGATGTCTTGCCAATTCCAACTCAAGGTCATATACATCTTGATGATCACAAACACTAGCAACTTCATAGGCCTATATGACAAAACCTCAATAAGCAAAACCATTCTAATCGTAAATACTTGTTATGTTAAATGAGAACTTTCTAACGGTTTCGTAATCCCACTTCTGCTACTTTTTAAATTGAACTCATTAAAATTTTTCATCCCTTCTCCTTCCTTCCAATTCCTTCATGCCAAACATAGGGTGAAAAGAAATAATAAAATAACAACTTGCCTTTATAGCTATGGTCAATCTCTGAGAGATGATATTAAGATCACTGTCTAAAATAGCTGAAGTAAAGTTCGCTATTTCTCTCAAGTAAGATTTGCATAGAAGTGCTTGCTCAACAAGTTGGTCGGGAGCATCTGCCTCATCAATCCTGTGAGTTTAAGATACATTAAATGACATAAAAATTCTATCAATTGTCATAAATCACAATGAGAAGCTAGATTTTATTCAACAAAAGCCCATCCCTAATCTTTAGAAAATGAAAACCATAAAACGGAAGAAGTATGAATGAGCAAAAAAGGCAGGGAGAAGGATTTATCAACATTACTACTTTTGACTTGAACCCTAAAATAGAATTTATATCTGTCCTAGACAGAGCATGTTGCAATGGAAATAAAGGCTCCTAAAAATTTTCACCAAAAATTGAAACAACTTCAAAATAAAAAAACTCTTGAGCAATATTAGAACATTTTCAACTACATATACTCACATTTCCGGTTGCAAGTGTATTCAAGACACGGAAGAAATAAGCAATGAGAAAATTTAAGTCAGTTACAAATGGTGCAGATAAGGGTTTACATTAACACACATTACCTTACAAACACATTTTTAGCATCAGAAAGGAGTTCAAGAAGAACTCTCAGTTCAGCACACTTCTCTTCAAACCTCTGCATGGGGCAAAATAAAAGCAGGGAAGATATGGAAACTTCTGTGGAAAGTTGCTGATGATAAAATGACAGAAAATCATACCATGGGGAGAGTTACCTTCTTACAATTGGATTCACCCTTCAATATTTTACAGGAATGGCATGTATAATTTTCATGGCTATATTGTCCACCAATGGTCTAATACACCACATATGATAGCTGTTCAAAAGAAATATAATAACAAATACATCAACATCAATATAAAACAATACCATGGAAATAAAAGTTATTCAGATTGACTGATGTATCTATTCCTCTTATTGAAGGACTAAATATTAAAATTCAGTCTTATTTCTATTATTCCTTCCATGCTTAAGCAGTGAGCTCATAATTGAAGCAGCCACCTACTGCAAAGACCAATTTCTGTTGACTGGGTCAACCTTCTGTAGAGCTAGAGTAAGTACATAAAATTGTCACAATGCAACAAGTGCCTTATCAATTTCTACAAGTGGAGCAAGTAAGAAGTTCCCGATCTTCAGAATCAGTAAAGCAATAGATGCATAGACATTCTTCTTTGCAGTCTTTCAACTGGCCATATATGGACAATGATCTATGTAGACTCTGTTTCATCTGAAACATATCAAGCAAGATCCTAAGCATATGCAATGCATAGTTTAGTCAAGGAAATGAAAATATTCTAGAATCAGAACCTTCTGCAGAGCATCAAGCAGTGAATTCTCATTTTGGACTAAAGTTCCTACAAAATTCATGCAGTGTTTCTTCCAATTCTCCACCTTCTCAACTTCAAAAAAAAGAAAAAAAAAAAATCCAATGCAGTTCTGTCCAACTGAAAGCAGCAGTATCTCCTAGTTCCTGGGGTAATGCCAAGGTCCCATGAGTATCTTGACTATTAATATATATATATATATATATATATATATATATATATGCCCGTTGCTAATGAAAATCTACAACTTTTTTCTGGGTGAAACTGACTATAGCATGATCAGCTGCCTTTTCAATCACTATGATTAGCACTTAATATAAGATATTCCAACATAATCATCCAGAAAAAGGAATCATAATTATGTGAAGCAGTATAATCAACCTTTTTCAAGCAAGAACAAATGCCATATGTTGATATGTGCTGAAAACATACCTTAAGTTTCAACATCGATAACAAAGACTGTTCCTCAAAACAAAGGCTAAGGAATTGAAGCGCCTGTTCTTGCCACAACCTAAAGCAGAAATAAAATGTTATTAGATAATGAAAACCATAGGCACATTATTCATAAGGAAGCCATGTGAACTTTATCAAACAGTATTATAGAAAATTGACAAGAAAACACAAAGATATGGCCCCCCTAGGTGACTGTTTTATACTGGCAATATTTTGTCCCAGGACAGCTAATACAGTAAAAGAGGATGGAAATTAATTCAACAAGTGCATGATTTACAAATCCTGATAATTAAATGAAATCTTTTAGGAAGAAGCACGGGCTCAAAAGACACAAAGAAGATTAAAAACTAAAGAGTTAGTAAATGATTGATTCAACAAAAACAAAAGCCTACCTATGTTTTCCAATGGCTTCTTCAAGTTGGTAGATTACCGCTGCAAAATGAATATTAATAGTCTGCAAGTAAGAAAATTGTAGTCGCAAGCTACAGATATCAATACATATGCATTTTATATTGAATAAATGAAATATAAGGAAAGAATTATCAATCATCAAGAGGATAGTGTAGGGATAAGATGGTACCTGGTAATCTCTAGTAATATCTTCAACTTCACTTGCTTCTTCTAGAATTGTGGTCTAGAAATTACCTCCAAGGCTTGCCTAAGCCATTTGAGTCCACCAATCAGTAGATTCAATAGGGCCCTAGAGCCACACGAATGAGAAAGGTCTTCTGAAGCCTCCAAGGCATCCTAAATGTTCAATCAGAAAGCAGCCTTAAAGGCATGAAATAACCTGCTCTTTCTTCTCTTCTAAAAGAATAAGTTAGAAAGTAATTTGAGGAGATGCTCCTTTTCTCTATGGATAAAGAATATTAAATATATTACAGCAGTGATTCATGTAATAGCATCACAGACCACTAACCACACTTCACTAAACCGGTTAAATTTGATAAAATGAAGAAGTCGATGCCAGAAAAAGTTATCTTTACTCAATGGAAAGTATGTACATAAATAGGGGCTGATCCTAGGATTTAGGCTAGGTCAGATTACAAATTAGAATCAAAATCAGATTAGAATCAATGCTAATAAAATCTAACAATAGTAGCTACTATTCTAGGAGGTAATCACGAAAATTTAAAGTTAAATGTAAGCTAGGACTCGGCTCATATTAGCAGCACCAACACTCCCCCTCAGGTTGGCAACTAGATGTCAGTCATTCCCAACCTGCCTCTGAATTCTTCAAACTGAGGTCCTACAAAAGCCTTTGTGAAGAGAACTCCTACTTGTTGATGTGAGGGAACATGTGTTATCTCTATGATACTTGCATCCTCCTTCTCCTTGATGAAATGCTTATCTATATGCACATGTTATGTTCTTTCATGATGAATAGGTTCCTCAACATCCCTATGGCTGACATAATGTCACACCTTAGTCGGATAGGCATGTCAGAAGCAAAGTGAAGTTCCTTTAACACACGAATGATCCATAACCCCTTGTAGACTCTATGAGCTAGAGCTCGTAATTATGCTTCTGCACTACTTCTAAAGACCATAGTCTGCTTTTTACTTCTCCAAATCACAAGGTTTCCCCATACCATAATACAATCACTATAAAAAAAAAAAAAAAGCTTATTACCAACTAAATTAGTGACGAAATAATATATTTTGTCGCTAATTTCCTATGAAAATTTCATCCCTAGCGACAGAATTTCATTCCACTGCTAACTCGTCTAAAAATCCATCAGTAAATATTTAGCGTCAGAATTAATGATAGAATTTTTTCTATCAAAAATTTCTATTGCTAATTTTAATTATGAAATTTTTAGCCATGGAATTAGTGATGAAAAAATTCCATCACTAACTTCCATTACTAAATTGTTTGTGATGGAAATTTTTGCCATTAATTCAATCGCTAAGTCTAATCCATCACTAATTTTAAATTTCATTATTTTATATTATAATCATACAACAATTTATATAATAATATAATTAAGAATATAATGATTTAAATATATTTTTAATTATAAAATAAATTGATATATTTGTGGAGTTAGTGTTAGTAAAAGTATCATCATCGTTCATCTCATCATTAGATACATACTGAGAATAGGAAGACAATTTCTTAGAAAACTTGTTTATATTTCATTAAAATCAATTCCTCTTTATTATTAATAATGATTAAACAAATATGACGAGAATATTAATAACTTTCTTATACAAATTGATATAAGAAAGAAATAATTTTATTATATATACAATATATTAAAAGATGTAATATATAATAGAAATTCAAAACCGAAAAATTAATTTACATAAACATCTCAATTTATGATTATAAATCAAACTAATATTAAAGTGAATTTTGAACTTCTATCATTAAACAATAAAATTTAATCATGATATAATTAATACCCATGATATAGATTGATTTTAGTCTTCAACATAAAAACAAATGATATACACAAAGGATTTTAAGAAAATAAATTACATAGGATAAATATATAGGTAAAAGAATATTGTTTATCATAATCTATTCAAATCATTTAATTTTTTTATATAGAATAATTTATAAAATTTTATTATAATAGCTATTTTTTGAATAACAAAATCTTTTTACTAATTATAAATGGTTTTCATCAAATATATAAAACACATAGAGATTTACATATATAATTAAATTATATCTTATCAATGTTAATTAAAAAAAATTAAATTTTTAAAAAAATATTTATGAAAAAACTATTTACAATTTAAAATTAAAAATTAGGGTCATTGGAAATTAATATTATATTAAAAATATTTTTTTAAAAAATAAAACATTATAAAATAAATAGTAAAGTAAGTATTTAAAAATTATTTTGACATAAAAATAGATATGATTAAAATTATCATATAGTTCATTTTTAGATTTTAATAATATACATATAATTGTTTGTGTAAAAGAATATTATATATATATATATATTTAATTTTGCATAATAAGTCAACAGGTTCATTACAGTTTAATTAGTAAAAGTCATGTGTGCATATAAACAAGGTCCATGGTTTAAGAGAAGTCATTTTAAGGAGGAATTATGTGGTGGTGACACGTGACAGTGTAAAGTGACATGCAAGATGGCGACATGTAATAAGTGGAAGCGAGGTGGTAGCAACACGTGGAGGTGAGTTGGTGATATGTGACAGTAGAGGTAAAGTGGCAAAGACACATGGAGGTGGCCAACAGCCATTATTGACGATGATGTGGCGGCTGGTGGAAGCGCCATGTGGCATTTTAATTTTTTTAAAAAAATCAGATTAGCGACTGAATTTTTCTGTCACTAATTTGTGAAGAAAATTTTCCATCACTAATTAGCAATGGATTAGCGATAGAAAATTTTCATGTCACTAATCCATTGCTAATTGCCTCAGAATTGAAATTCTATTACTAATGCAATTAGTGACAGGAGAATTAGTGACGGAACAAAGTCCATTGCTCATGCGATTTTGTCACTAATTCATTGCTAAATAAAAATTCCGTCACTAGTCGCATGCTTTATTGTAGTAAATACCCCAAAGTAGAATGCCTCCTTCGTATTGCCCTTTCTGAAATAAAGGCCACGGCATGGGATCATCTTGGGATAATGCAATATTTTGTATACTGCATTCATATGCTCTTCAAATGGCTCATTTGTAAACCGACTTACTACCCTGATCACATAACTAATGTTTGGTCAGGTATGAGAGAGGTACAACAATTTTTCCACTAATCTCTTATACCTTCTAGCATCAACTAGTATTGGTTTCTTTCTTTAGTTCTTTCTTGGCCTAGTTATTAGTTTCCATCAGTACCAGAGTCACCATCATTTGCCATTTATCTAACAAGAATAGAGAATGAACAAAATGAAAATGAACAAGGACAAAGCAATAGGTTTTATGCAGTATAAACGAACATTACTCCACAACATGAAAATGGAGGTGCAACCGACGTCACATGAAGAAAACATGAAAGCAGGATGGAGCATGTAGAATGCAAAATGGAGAATGGAAAAAGCAAAATCACAATGGTGAACATAAGAAATACCTACAATGTGTAACATCCCAGATTTTAGACCTAGAAGTACCAAAAATAGCCTAAAATGGACAGGCCATCAATTCTTTTGGTAGGAGTTTTGGAAGTTTCTTAAAAGGATAAGATTTCCAGGGACTAAATCGCAAAGTAAGAGTTTTCTAAAACTATGAGATAGACAAGTTAAAGACTCTGATGAAGTCTTAAGAGCTCGAGTATGGGAATTGAAAATGAATAAATGCCAAAGATTTTGCTTGGAACCTTAGTAAGATGATTCTTGAGGTTAAACCCAAGCAAAGACCTAATCGTAAATTCGAAAAGTTCCAAGTCAAAAAAGGGCAGTGATGGAAACTACACCTGAAAATTCCAAAAAATGGGAAATAAGGTTTTTGAGGCTTGTATGAGGTTAAAAATAACAAAAATACCCCTAGAAATTGATGAAATTCTGAGGGTTTTAACTAATTATGAATATTAGCCAAAATAAAATTATTTAAAATACAAGGAGGCCTCAAATAATATGAGATAAATGGGAAATAAATACTTGAGAAATTATCACAAGTTTTAAAAAAGAGTTCGCCCCCAATAAGTGAAGAGGTTAGCTTTAACAGAATTTAAAACTTATTTATACATTATCTGGGGAAATTAAAAAAAAACCGTTTGTGGGTTGACTTTTTACCTTAGAAAAATTAGAGAAATTTCCTATGATGAAAAGACAATATTGTTACCGAAAAACAGATTCTTGGAGTCATGGACTGATAGAAAGAACTCAGTGAATTTTACTCCAAAATAAATATTATTAAATATTTTAATGAAAAAAATAAAGGAAAGAGCATCCCTCCCTCTGTATGCATGTTATATAATGCCATGTGAAGTTACTTGTGATAAAAAAAGGTGCTAGAACATGTCCCAGGGCTATTGGGTAAATCAGGACCTGAAAATGTATTCGACATGATGTAAAATTGTGAAATAGGTGGAGGAATAGTCAAGGGTGACAGGGAGCCCGAATTTCTCCCCATTTCTCCTTATTTTAATACAAATTTGATGAAGGGACATAGATGGAATAATACAAGTTGTTGAGAGGCCTGTTTAGAAGAAATAGAATTCTTTAATAAAATATTATATTTTACCACACGTGTATTAGGTGGCATAACACATTGCAAGTGTTTAAGCAAGATGGCCTAGGATTTGTGCATATTGCAAGAGATTATAATGAATGGTGAGATTGAAGGTGACACACCCATTGTAATTTTAATTAAATTCATGGGCCAACTTCTAATTAGGATACTATAAATACCCCTCCTTCCCCATTTGAGGGAGGATTTTCGGCCAACTCAAGGAAGAGTGAGGAGAGGCCGAATTCACAAAGGAAAAAAGAAGAAGAGAAAGAGAAAGGAAAGCCATGCAAGATCAAACTCCAAGACAAAGTATATTTATGGTTTTTGATGTAGTTTATTTTGCTATTTGTCTTATTGAGTTTAACCATGGTTTTGATGGATTTTGAAAGCTTAAAACCCTAGGTTCAGATGCTGTTCAATTATGTTTAAACCATGAAAAAGATTGATTGATCCTAGAATCATGTTTAAAGGTTTAAAAAGAATGAGAATTAAGTGATTTTGAGATAATTTGTGAAAGATTTCATAATTATATACTTGGGGATATATTTTAGCCAAGACTTGTTTTTAAGGCTAGGGTTGGATATTGATGATTTTGATACTTTTAATGAGTCTATTGAGAAAATGTGTTTGGAAGAATTATAATTGAAAAGGAAAATTTTGGATTCCAAACCCTAACCTCTCGGCCTTAAGTGTTTAAAGGGGAAGGAGTTGGATTTTATTACATTCAAACTCATATTTGGATTTTTCATGAAAAAATGAGTAAG